CTTCCTGATTACTACTCTGCATCCTTATTGTCCACCAGTCAGCTCTACTACCTCTCAACACTACTCCCTCTTCCACACATCCCCATACCTCTACTACCACCTTCTCTACAGATATCTTGAATACTCTGTTTAGCCCAGCCAAATGGGGTTGAATTTTTGTAATCCCCCCACATAGTCCATTACTCTGACAACACTATCCTCTTCTGGCAATGCCTCCAAAAACAAGTAGGCAAAGTTTCCTTCTGCAGCCACCCCGATCGTTCCTAGCTTGTCACTGTTACATTTGAGTCCCAAGCTATAACATTATCAACCCTAACTGACTTATTGGCAAACCCATTCCTGCCCATCCTCATCCCTCCCTCGGTACTAACACTGGAAATGTCTCCATCTCCCCATCAAACTACCCTATCTACAACAAGGATTGGTCTAATTGTGAGGAAGACTTTCACATCCATCTCATGGACTATGATGCAGTATCAGTACAGTGCTATACCACCCTCACTAGAGGCCGTCATAGGTCCCTTACCAATACTGCCAAACTTATATTCCATAGGCCTGACCTCCCTTTAATGCTGACATTGGCAAAGAGTCTCTCCCTATCCAATCATGACAACCTCTCCCCAGAATTGTTGGCATCCAGGCCATCCTGCCAAAAACTGCCATTCCACAGCCGGATGCCCTCTCTCTGCCCAGCATGGTCACATGTGCTAATTGTGGTGGCTCCCATAATGTATTTTATAGGGACTGCCCTGCCTACAAGTTTATCTGAAGTGGCAAGTCTCAAATTCAAACTTGACCTAACACTGCTAGACAGAAAACACTCTTCTTTCTTCCCAAGATTTTTCTACATCTCCCCCAGCATCTCGTCCTCATCCCACCTCTATCTCTACCCCTCCCAGTGAAATTCTTTTGCCATTCTAAATTCAGACACCCCAATCTCCACCACTATTCCAGTCACTACTTCCCCGGTACCTACCCCTCTTCCTCCTCACCCAACTCATCGCACAAGACAAGCTAAACACTTCATCCCATCTACCCCATCCCTTCCATCAACCTCTCCCTCCACCCCTCAAACATCTGTCCTCTTCCCCCCATAAGAAAACTATGTTTCTCAGACCCCCCTAACTGACTCTAATGCAGAAACTCTTGAAGACATTCAAAACTCCACCTATCCATCCTCCAATCCTACTCCTTTTCATTCTACACTCAAAGTAACTGCCTACATCCATCCTCCTCCTGCTCATGTTGCCCCTACACCCCTTCCTCCACTCTTTCCCAACAACCCCATCCCCCCCATGCTTCAACTGCGACATGCCCTCCTTCCCCAATATTCCTCCCATTTCCCCCTGGATGTGCCATGCCAGGTCAAAACCTGAGGCGAGGTGGAAACCAGGCTCCATTATGTCCAGGATTTCCTTCAGGACATAACCAGGATGGGGACAGACAGGCATCCAGAAACCCAGTACCTCATTGTCAGACCCAGGGGAGGACCAGGCTGCGATTGTCCAGTTCTCGGGTATGGTGACCAAGCAGATGGTCAAGCCTGAATAGCCACAGAGAGGAGAGTGCATGTCATGCAGTCTCTTCCCTTAGTCCAACAAGCATACAAAACCACACAGCAGCCTTTCCTAATGCCCACATTGTCATACCCACAAGTCTCTAACAGCAGTGTTCTTGGGCAGGCCTCAAAATCACAGCCTCCTACACTGTATTCATTTATCAATGACTAACATGCTACTCATCTACAAAATACAGGATGGTCTATGCAGCTGGTGACCATGAAACCTTGGGTCAAGTGGTCTTGCTGAACACTGACTTGGCCCATGCCCCCACCACCAGGGATAAGGAATCCCAGGTTATCCAGCATGCAGACATGATCTGGCCAGAGGGAGTCTTAGCAAGTTTGGGAGAGCCACAGAATTTCATCTTTTGGTGCATCTTTATGTCCTACTTCCTGGACTTGAGGTCAGGATGATGGCAGACCCATTGTTTAGGGGCATCAATATGACCATGGTAGAGTTGACAATGGACTCAGCCTTTGCATTAACCAGTTTTAAAGCCATGAGATATGAATCCATGCTCTCACATCTCCCACCAACTAACAAGTTTAGGTGTAATGTGGAACTAAAGAAGAGCTATAGTTAAGCCATGTCCAGCACCAGGCACTCCATTGCTGGAATGGAGTTCCAGAGCCTTGTCTTAAGTGCTTATACCACTCATCTGTCTCACTTGTCATTCCATTGTCCCATCCTGTCTTCACAGCCAAGGACAACACAACAAAATCCAAAACCTAGTGTAGGTCCAATGTCATCTTCCAAGAATTTTTTTTTTCTCAAGTGAACCTCCGAACAACAACGGACACAGTAGGAGGATGCCCTGCCTGGTACCGGGAAGGGCAGATGAATATAGGTGCTACCTCCTTTAACATTAAAGCCACTACTTTCTGGGACATACTCTCCATATTCTGAAAAGGGCAAGGGATTAGACTTAGTGTCCACAGTCTTCATGAGGATGATGGCTCCAGTTTGAGCTACTTTACATCAGCAGGGAATTTGCCTCCACAGATCTTAAATGCCCTAGATGTCATTCTAGCTGCCTCACAATGGGAAGCCACAAGGCAAAGGGAGTTCTTACTGACCTGTGCTTCCCATGTGATAATAAGAAAATGGAAAAAAGATAATTCTAATTCAGATGAACTGCTTTTGGGGATGGGATTCTTTCCTTTTTATTTTTTTTCTGACAAAGAAAAGACTAGAAAACTTCCATCAAAATATAAAATAAATTTCTAAGCAACAGCTGTCCACCAGTAAGAGAGTGGATGATACTCTTAGGCCACATGTCTTCCCTCATCCACTTCATACTAGTAACAAGGCAATGGATAAAAAACATCCAACTACAGCTCACTCAAATGTGGGACAAACAGTCACAAGGGGTCAACATTCCTTTACCCTGGGACAACAGTATTCTTCAGGACCTCTAGTGATGGACAGAGGAACAAATTCCCTCCAGATGGCCTCCCCAGACTTGTATCTTTACACAGACGCCTCAGTGATGGGTTGGCGAGTGTCACTACTACAGGAATTGATAGTACACGATAGGTTCCTCTACACCAACTTCTTGGAGCTCAGAGCAATTTGTCTAGGACTGTTAAGCTGCAAGGGCTGGAGGTAGCTGAAGTTTAGGTATTTGGGATCGACTTTCCAGAGAAATGGAGATCGTGGAAAAGCATTAAAGAAAAGAATGCAGGCTGGACAGAATGGATGGAGAAAGGTCATATGAATGATATGCGATTAAGCAAGGACTAAAATAAAGTTCCTCAAGACTGTGGTAAGGCCTGCAATGCTGTATGGCATGGGGACACTCCCACTAACAAAAAGACAAGAAGGTTCCTCTACACCAACTTCTTGGAGCTCAGAGCAATTTGTCTAGGACTGTTAAGCGTACTGTGGTAAGGCCTGCAATGCTGTATGGCATGGGGACACTCCCACTAACAAAAAGACAAGAAGGTTCCTCTACACCAACTTCTTGGAGCTCAGAGCAATTTGTCTAGGACTGTTAAGCTGCAAGGGCTGGAGGTAGCTGAAGTTTTGGTATTTGGGATCGACTTTCCAGAGAAATGGAGATCGTGGAAAAGCATTAAAGAAAAGAATGCAGGCTAGACAGAATGGATGGAGAAAGGTCATATGAATGATATGCGATTAAGCAAGAACTAAAAGAAAGTTCCTCAAGACTGTGGTAATGCCAGCTATCCTGTATGGTATGGGGACACTCCCACCGACAAAAAGACAAGAAGTTGAGCTTGAAGTTGCTGAAATGAAAATGTTGCATTTCTCTTTAGGAGAGATGAAAATGAACAAAGTGAAACATTAATATATCAAGAGGGACAATGCATGTGTCAAGTTTGGTGTTAAGGCTAGAGAGGGAAGATTGAGGTGGTTTGGGCACATCAAAAGAAGGGATGAGGAATATGTGGGGAAGAGGATGTTCGAAATGGAACTGCCGGAAAGGAGAAAAATACAAAAGCCGGAGAGAAGGTTCGTGGACACAAGTCAAGATAGAAATGCAGACAGTGGGTGTGAATAAATCATGGGCATAAGATCAGACGCACTGGAGAAGGAAGATCCACTGTGGTGACCCCAGAAGGGAGAAGCCAAAAGAAATGTGTGTGTGTGTGCATGTATATATACATGTGTGTGTGGGTGGGTGTACATGCCTGCGTGTACATGTGTGTGTGTGTACATTTGTGTATGTGTGTGCATGTATGTATGTATGTATGTATGTATGTGTGCACACACACCCACCCACCCACCCATGTGGGTATGTGCGCACACACACACACACACCCATATGGGTATGTGCGCACACGCATGCACACACACGCACACGTGCACACACACACACAAATATGTGTATACACACATGTATGTGTGTACCCATACGTGTATGTGTATACACACATGTATGTGTGTACCCATATGTGTATGTGTATACACACATGTATGTGTGTACCCATATGTTTATGTGCGTGTATAGACGTGTGTGTGTGTACTGACATATGTGTATGTGTTTACTTATCAATGAGAGTGACCTTAGTGCAGGTGATTAAAAGGTGGTCTTGCTAGTGGTTTTATTCCTGAAGGTAGATGCAAGACCCCCAAGAGATACCTTTTGGCACCTGGGTCGAGGACAAGGTGGTGGAGTTGGACCCTGTGTGGCTTGGTCTGTCCTCTTATGTGGTGGCTCCCTTCAAGGGGAGGTACTTACTACTGGGGTGTCAAGATTCATTCGACTGTAAAAAAGGGGGTGAGTTTGCAGGCCTTGCTCAAGGGGAAGATGTAAATATAGGTGTGTGTGTATGTGTGTATGTGTATGTGTATGTGTGTGTGTGTGCGTGTGTGCGTGTGTGTGTGCACATGTGTGTGTGTGTGTTTGTTTGTAGGTATGTGTGTATATCTATCTATCTATCTATACAGATATACATAGGGTGTGGAAGAAAAGCA